TCTGACTTTGAGACTAGTCAGACATGGACTGCTTCATAGGAAACCGGTGACCGGCCTGTTTTCTAAGAAGGAATCCCAGCATGCATTTGTATACTTCTGCCTATGAATTGGGGAGGAAAATTATTTTGCAATGATTCCTAATAAGGATTGAAACCAACACATTGTTTACAACTTTCCGCAGCATTCGACAGAAGAAGAGTGTTTTGGATAGACGCTCCTGTTCATTTCTTATAGATAGCTGGCTTTAAATAAGGAGATTATAATTTATTAGGTTCCAGGTTTTCATTATTACAAACATTAATATAATAATTACATAAAGCGTATAAAAATCCTATGGTCGTATTATATACATTTAAGTATTTCTATGACTATTTTTAGTTAAGAGCCAGTAGAGTTCAGTTTTTTTTAATCCGGCAACTCCCATGACCGGGTACTTTTGTGAATAAGCCATCATCAGTTTGAAGACTAAGATGGCAGCGGCACACACTGTTTACAAATTTGCGCAGCAGCTGATAGCATCAGAGTGTTGAAGTGATACGGCTCTACTCATTTCTTGTATATAGCTGCATATTTAGCCATTCAAGATAGCAAGTTTAAAACTACCTTCCAAATAATACCAAGACATTAGATAGATTGAGATACTGTTGCTATATTACTAATGTCTTACCGTTATATAGGTGGTAGTTCTTGGATATATAAGCGGGAGGTATTTCTGCCACGACCCGTATATATTTTTCTTTTTTTGATTTAGTCTTTTTGTGAGTCTTTTTAGTACAGAAAACGATAAAATATTGTCTGGAATCATTAATGTGTCTGTTATTTCCAGATGTAAACCTAGATCTACATTTGATAGAACACTAATGGATGTCTGGAAGCAACCGGCAAAACCATGTTTACACAGTTTTTAGTGGCCATTTCTATCATGCGGTGTTTTCCGTGGTCCTGCAAGACATTGGTCTCAGAGTTGAAAACTGTAGTTCACTCTTATTTGTCAGTAAATAGCAAAACCGACCCGTGGAAATTGATTCCTAGATACACGACTAGACAACTGTAGTATCATTTGTAGAAGGTTCAAGCAGTAGAGATCCTAGTATGTCAATATTAACTTAATAGATACAGTTGAGATGGTAGATGAACCTGAAGAGAAAAGCCTCAGCTTGCAAGAAAGACATGAAACAGAAGCTAAATATTTGTCTGATAATATGAATTATTCTAGAAAAGATATTTTCACAATAAAATATATTATGCTATAACATGAAACCCCGCAATGGTAACATTTTGAAAGCTTCTTGAAAACTAACATCTATAACTAGTGTTTGGCTCTGAAAGATTACTAGGTATAGTTTTTTAAAGGATGGTTTTACAAGAAAGCTAGAACGGGGGCTATACAATGCACGTTTATGACTCCCCTGAAAACCAGGTCTATGTCTATGGTTTTAACTATCGTGCGAATCGAACAATTGTCTACGTTGTTGTCTCTCTCGCGTAAATCAAACCTGTGAGGATCGTTCAAATAGTTCTAAGACTCATTCAGAAGAAGTTGGAGAGAAAAGGCAGTTTTTTACTATTTTTGATATAGTCCCCTTTGATATCATCGGCATGGTCCAACGATGCTGATGCATTGCAATTCCATCACGGAAAAAGGGTGCGTCCTCAGAAAAACTCCTCAATAGCACATATGCTTTCATCATTGTTTCCAAAATGGCGACCACACTGGTTGTATTTGACTCTAAGAAACAGACAGAAATCAGGTAGATGTAAGTCTGGTAAGTAATGGGGATGGAGTAGCAATTCAAAACCACAACTGGATGGTTCAGTTACTGCAACCTGAAGAGTGTGCACGGGTGCGTTATCCTGGAGCAAGAACACACCTACACTCAGCTTCCCTCTGCGTTTCGATGTGATCGCTTCCTCCATTTGTCTTAATTTCTGATGAATAGTTCTCTCCATTAATAGTTTTTGTTTCCCTTTTCCATGTAGTCTATGATTATTACCTCTTCAGAATCAAAACAACTGATAACCTCACCTTGCCAACAGACGACACTTGCTTGAAATTATTTGGGGTGAAGAATTAGTGATTTGATTCAGGTTTGAAGTAGTGAACCCAGGTTTCATCTTGAGTTGGAAATTCTCAGTGTCATCTTGGGACAGAGTCTGAAATGTCCTGGAAATGTCAACCTTTTTCGTCATCTACTCTGGTGCCAACTTTCTTTGAACCCATCTTGCAGACAGCTTGCTCATATACAAGATCTTAGTTCAAACAGTATAGACCAAACCAGAATTAATGCCTATGGCCTTACCTATCTACTGGACAGTAAGTGGACTGTCATCCAAAATGATAACTCGAATGTCATCAACTAGCTCAGCAGTGGTTGAGGTTTTTGGATGAACTGACCGACAGTCATCTGTGCTGACCCTGCCTCGCTTCAATTCCGTGGCCAACTTCTTTACAGTTGGATAGTAAGAGTGTTTATCATGCCCTCATGGATTTCCTTGTGTATCATAGCTTTCTTTTACAGATACTTTATGACTGCTCGGTTCTTTGTTTTGTCCATTTTTAGATTTGTCGGGCACCCCTCACATTTGTATGGGACTGACTTACACATAAATTAAGACAGAAATCTGAATTAGGTTTTTTTCTCGCTTTATAAGAAGTGGTATTGTATTGCCAAAATAAAAGCGACTCACCTATGACTCTTCTTTCTGACTGTAGCTTAGAACCTTTTTGAACGACCCTCTTAACCTTTCCCAGTCAGAAACCGTCCTTATAACCAAATGGCCTTCATCTAATAATAATATAGAAGTCATTATTGTTTTTACTGTCGGCACAAGTTTATATTGGTGAGTTGATTTCCTATTTTGTTATTTACCTGTTCTTCCCTCTGTCTATTATCAAAACAAGCAAGTGATACGCAATCATGGTCGAGAAAAAAAGGTGATGAGATAGAATTCAGGGGGAATACGATTCATGCCTTTCCCAAAGGTATTGGTGTAAAAGTGATATACGTAACATTAACCAAAATTCTCTCTTCGTTAATTACAGCAAATGTTTTCTTACGTGCCATATCTTTCTCATGCAGATATTTTATGACTGTTCGGCCTTTGCTTCGGCCATTTTCAGATTTGTCGCATATCCCTCAGCTTTGTACGGCACTCAACTTCAGGGAAATTAAGTCAAAAACATTTTTCTTGTTTTATCAGAAATGGCAGTGTGTTGCCACAACAAAAAATATCCAGCTATGGCTCTTCTTTCTGGGTGAAGGCTAGAAGTGCTTGAACCACTATTGTGTATCAGACTTTGCAAACCAAATATACTTGTTTAGCAAAATAACAGAATTCGGCATCTAAAAGAACTTAATACTCCGAAAAAGAAACCAAGCCAAACCTAACATATGGCTCCACCCATATGGAAAGATTATTAATATAATTTCTTCCCGTATTGAGATCGTTAACGTCTGCTGGATTTAAAATTAACCAACTCACGTAGAACTCTGTTTTTCTTACTATATGTTCATATACAAGGAGTGGGTTTATTCTTGACCCAACTGAAAAATTAGCTTGTTTTAAGTATATAAATATATTGCTTTTAAATTTTACCTTTTGATTTTTTCCGTCAATTGTAACAGTCGACGAAATGAAGATTCAATTTAACGCATCACTTTCCGGCTTTGATAAAGTTCAAAAACATCTACGCGGCCTTGTGGGTGATGATTTATTTACAAATCTACAGTCCCTTTCTTACAGATGAAACATGCCACATGTTTCTCTATCGCTATAATCATGGGAAACGTTCTTACGAGGTACATTTCTTAGCTTCACCTGTTCAGACCTTTACAGCTATGACCAGACATGTGACGTTCGCAGTGTAGAATCATTCACATTCCCTTAGTATTCCAATAGTATAAGGGAAACTAAATTTGTATTGCTTCTTCACAAGAACTGCTACTTTGTGGAACAGACTCCTGAAAGGTTGCTTCCCACGACAATATAATTTTAATTTATTCATGTCTAGAGTCAGCTGTTATCTACCCTACATATTGTAATAATATGTACTTCTTACCTCTCCTTATTGAGTTTATAAAACAACCCAATTTTAGTAACTCACCTACCTTGAGTGGCTCTTGTGCACTGTTACACTCATCTTCAAGTTTTCCAGAATCCAACTTGCTGTTCATATGTCGACTTTTAGGTGTACCATTTGTAATCTTCGCTTATCCCTGAGTGGTGGTGGAGGTTACCAAATATATGAGTATTGCATTTGTAGTACCAGCCGAAGGTTTAGATATTTACTCAAACATCAAAATTGCAAAAGAACAATGGCTGGAGAGAAATCGGAAAACTGTAAATAAAAATTTTATTTTCTAGAAAGGGAACATCTTTAAAAATTGTACAAATATGTTGCATGCATTCTCTCCGTCCCTGAAATGGAAGGCAAGCGAATATAACAATTATATTCCCTTATTCTCAATTGCAGAACTTCAGGTTAAAAGAAATTATGTTTTATTTTCACTTATATGGAGTCACGTCTACCACAAAAAAAAAACACTTGGGTGTCCAGTTTAGGATGTCCCTAACTGGCTGAGGGGGTGCCATGACCGACCAAAGCCGTGGATATTTGTTAGAAAAAAGAAAGAAACGTTAAGAAAAACCTCATTCTTTTTAAAATATTTTTCCAAATTTATATATTTTGTTTTGTTTTTTTTTGTTGTTTTTTTTTGTATCACGTCTTAAGATTTTTTTTTCAGGGCTTATTCTATTCGCAGCTGAAATTTTACTATACGTTTCCTTATGTTGCATTTCTTCATATATATCAAGCCTCATTTTTTCTTCTTAGTTCGATAATCATTCATTTTCGCATTACTCCTCTTTGTTCATTTTTTAAAAATTCTTTCTTAATTCATTCTCTTTCTTTCACTTAATTCCTCTGTTCTTTTTATTCAACGTGCTTACCCTTTGACATCTCTTTTTTATTCGCTAACAATTCACCTTTTTGCGCTTAGCGCCTTTTTTTTCCCTCCTTTTTCGGCTGCCATTCACATTTCGCCCATATTTATACGCCATTTTCTATCCCAGCTTGCCTTTTGAAATTCCCATTCAATTCTACCCCACTTCCCACAGAATGTAACCGCAGCAGTTGACTTTCAAAATGCCTCACAATACAAAAGCAATTTTTCCGAAGGCTTTCTTCTGTGTTCGGTAATATAACTGAACGTTGACCCTAAGGCCCTTAGCTGATGACCTTCTTTTCTTTTTTCTTGTGCCATTTTCTTTGCACGAAGCAAGAATGAAATATTTCCAACGAAGGGTAAAAGAGTCATTTCCTATTTTGACTGCTTGTTGTTTTTGGATTTTTTTTGGGGGATTTTTGTGTGTTTTTTTTTCTCGAGAATTTAATTATTTATGGCATTTTTCTCCAGATCCATCCCTTTCTTCCTTTACCGCAATTTTATCAAATTTGTTGCTAATAATAACCACAACAGAACGAATAATAAAGTAGTTGTCGATTAAATTATTTTATTATTACTATTTAAACAAAGCGTGAAATAGCGAGGAATAACGAGAAATTGGCCGTAGGCATATCGTTACTGTAACAATAAAAATGATTAGAATGATACTGTCTTAACTCTTGTTTTATTTATTCCAGGTGGATTACATCAGAGATTCATTATGCCTGTCTGTTAGGGTGGCTACATAATCCCTGTTGTAGATCCTGGCACAGACATATTTCTACTTATTCGACCTGTAGCTTATACCGAAACTAATCTTTGCTGCAGTTTCTCTGACAGAGTGACAAATCTGGCGTGATGACCAGTTTGAATAAGGCCAGTACACTCAAACACTCGGTCACGATGACTTGTGACTTCGTTCTAGCACAACGATCGGCAGATTCCGAGGAGTTTATTGTACCCAATTCCCTTTCCAAGAACAGGGTCAAGCTGTGACATGGTTTTCACACACTTCCTATATACTGAGATCGTCTCTATAAGAAGATGATATCAATATATAACAAATTAGGACGCTAACCATTTGTCCACGTCCCCACAGCGTATGATATTAACTAAAAACAAATTGTATAAATACGCCAACGCTATTAATAATCAAGTCGTTTTCATATTGAATGTACGATTCCTGCAAACGTTCTTACTCATCTTTTTTAGACCGCTTCCAGTGCTCCCACAACGAAAGATACTACTGTCACATATTCGACTATGTTTTTACTTCCGTGGAAAGATCTAGATTCCCTATTTCGTTTGGGGTCAAGTATATAACATCTGTATTCATGAACAGGGAGGTATGCCCCTTAAAATAGTTTTCACGTATATACTTATTTACATTATTTGGATTGTTGACATCATCTTTATTGTCATATTCACGACGTTTCGGCAGTTGTACATTTCGGCCTTCTTCAGGTGACTGGAATTTTAAACTAGCCCAGTGAATAAAAGCATTGTTAGGATCCATTGACTTGACCCAAACAGTTGTGAGTTCAATACCTGGCTACTGCAGCGCTGAATAAAAACTTAGAGAGTTCAATTAAAGGGAGATAACTTAGACTTCTGGTAGAAGCATCGCACGTGGAACTAGAACAATCTACCCCGGCGGAGGAAATAAATAGTTCGGCTCGAAATTCCAATCACCTGAAGAAGACCGGAGCGTACAACGGCTGAAACGTCGTGAATATGGCAATAAATATGGGGACAACAGCACGAAAAATGTAAATAATGTTAATTATACCTCATCTCAGAAATATAGACAGACACCTATTTACTGCGCCTATGTCTATCTTCTTTTCTGACATTCGTGCTAAATCTATATATATGTACATTATTTACATTATTCGGACTAATGTCCTCATCTTTGTCGCCATATTTATCACAACGTTTCGGCCGTTGTACGCTCCGGCCTTCTTCAGGTGGTTGGAATTTCGAACTGAACCCTTTATTTCGCTCACTGGGGTAGACTGTTCTAGTTCCACGTGCCATGTTTTTGATGGATGTCAGTTATCAGTTATCTCCTGTTAATTTCCCTCTGAAGAAGGCCGGGGCGTACAACGGCCGAAACGTTGTGATAAATATGGCGACAAAGATGAGGACATTAGTCCGAATAATGTAAATAATGTACATAATACCTCATCTCAGAAATATAGACAGATACGGAAAGGCCGAAACGTTGTAATAAATATGGCGACAAAGATGAGGACAATAGTCCGAATAATGTAAATAGTGTACATAATACCTCAACTCAGAAATATAGGCAGACTCTACATATATGTTTTTGTATCTTTTTTTACTCTCATGAAACTTGATTATTGTTTACCTCTTTGACTGTCGGGAAATCCATAACTTTTTTGAAACGAGTTAAAACCATTTCTAGATTTACCTTTTTGAATCTTGTGAAAACCGGACTTATTTACATATTTCTTGTTTATCGAAACGATAGACTTCGGTATTAAAAAAACGAAACGAAACAATATTAGATATATTCCTTTCTTTTGTTCAATTCACTGGACAATTTTCTTTTCCTCGTTCACAGTCACTAGTTATGATTTTGTGCTCCAAAGTGGTTCATCAGTTTCAGTCATAAACTTCAAGAGAATTGTATTTTAATTTTTAAATCCCTAATAATGAAACGACTAATATTAACCTGGTTTCTATATGGTAATGCAATATTAGCCGTCTCCCTGTGGAAACATTCGGGTTTCTTGACCGAACAGCCAATGCTTCTCGAATTACATTTTCTTCACACCCTGTCCATCTGACTGAGATCAAAGTGTAGTATCTGCCTTCGAATCTGCTTACATTTTATCTCTCAATTCATTTTCTATCTCCGGACAGTTGTGAAAATCAATTAACAAATGACAGGTCCGAGGAAACAGCTGCCCGCGTCAGTATCTTCCTCATTGCACTAAATAGGTGGGGGATCGGTAGTACAATGTACCATTGAGGAGAGGGAGGGATTGCTAGCGCAATAGACGTTAGCGATGATTGGGCTCTTTCTCGCCCTGGCCCGGGTGCCTGCGCTCGGTTTCCCCACATTAAACTGAACTTGTGCCACATCCTGCCAGCGTACGATGTCAAGTAAATCCCAAGTGTAGTAGCTGCCATCCAGCTTCCTTCAAACTACAAAATATCTCCCAGTTTTGTTTTTGTTTTCGGACAGAACTGAACAAAAAAAAAAGTGACGCCTGGTCTCGGGAATTCCAACCTTGCGGCAGCACCTCCCCCATTCACCAAAGATGGAGACCGGAAAAGTTTGGGATTTGGCACGTGTGCATGCGCTGTGACTTCCCACTTTAAACCGGCCCTGTTCCATATACCGGTACCGTGAAGGGACGAATAAATACCCAGTGTAGCATTTGAGGAGGCAACGTGGTCTAATGGATAACGGGTCGGAATGATCAATCGGAGAGCCAAGTTCGAATTCCAGTCGAGTTCAGTAAATTCACTTAGGTGTTAATAACCTTAGGAAAGGTTTGAATCCTCTTCTTTTCCTCCTAGGTAAATATCAGGATAGCCTTGGGTGGTAAAGTAACTCTATATCCAGCCCAGGAGCAGCTAAAGAATAAATCGTTCATACTGGTTCAATGATGCCAACTACAGTCGACCTGAGTGAATTTAGTGTCTGTTTTCCTTATCATTATTATTGAAATTAAGTAAAATCTGTCTATTAAAACTATTTTTTGAGGAAGATGAGTTTCTCAAGTCATATTGATGAAAGTATCATTCATAACCTTTTCTTTGATGTAATGTGGAATGTCAACATCTTAATTATGTCGATAATTAATTTTTCTTTAAGTTAGATATGCTATCTATTTTTTGTCGCAGTTGGTAGTCAAGTAATGTTGATTTCTGTTATGATGTAATTCTTGATGTAATTTTTTATTTAAGTGCATTTGCCTTTCGCTGGGTTTTAACTGCTGCAAAAACTCTCTCTTATTCCGTACGTTCCTGTCGTATTTTTCACGTAATTCTTTTCTTCATTACCTTTTGTGTAAAATGAATATCATTGCGTGACCAGGTCAGTGGAAAAGAGGTAACAGAAAATTTACTACCTATCTATCTATCTATCTATCTATCTATCTATCTATCTATTCATTCCAGCCTCTTCTCACATCTATCTATCTATCTATCTCCCCAAGCACATACACATCATCAGACTTACAAATTCAAAAAATTTTGAATTTTTAAGTCTGATGAATTTAATCATGATTACGATTCCAATGTAATAAATTATAACCATGAAATATTAGCATTTGAGCCTTATATATATATATATATATATATATATATATATATATATATATATATATATATATATATATATATATATAGTAATGATAATATAAATTAATAAATTATAACCATGGAATATTAGTGTTTGAGCATTTTATATTTTTATATATATATATATATATATATATATATATATATATATATATATGAAAATTTTTCAGAGTTACCCTGTAGAAAAAGACAATATTTATAAATATAAATGACAATAGGAAAACTTTAGTTATTGCTGACGCATTTCGTCCAATGTGGACTTTCTCAAAGCAAAAAAAACCTTTCGCGTCTCCAATAACTACAGTTTTTCTATTAATCTCCAATAACTACAGTTTTTTATCAATATATATATATATATATATATATATATATATATATATATCGTAATGGTAATATTAGCGGTTTCCTACAAGAAAAAACAGTTGGCATTCATTGACCAAGCAGCCAATACTATTTTGGATTGAAATTTATAAATTATTTCTCTTAAAACATTTTTTTCAGGAAAACATTTTTTTTTTCAAATCCAGTATCTCTTTTCACTCTTTCCAGTGCTGATGTAGGATTCAATCCTAAACTTTTTTTTTGAAGTAATGTCGGATATCAACTTCCCGATTATTCTCTCCATTATTTTCTCACCAAGTGACATGTGTTATCCGTTTTACTTGATGTTGCTATTGAAAGTTCTCAACTGATGTGGTTTCTGGAATTTGTTTAATTATTTGCTGGTAATTCCGTAGCGCCAGCTCACGAGATTAAAAAAGAATTGCCTTTGCAAAAACCTGCAGGATTCATTAGCTCAAATCCATTTTAATCATTGATCTGAGAAAACGGTTGTATACTACTGTCAGTTTAGATATTTCTGAAAAATGTCGTGCCATGTGTGAAACCACATGAAAATCTCGACCTGTCCAGGTTAATTAAAGACATGATTCGAGATCTAAAATGTACCTTTTATGTTTATAATCAAATCCTAGCCATTGGTGTTGTTCTCATTGAATCACTCTTCCCGACCAGTCATGTTTACTTTTTTACTCTTTCTTAATTAACTGGATGTGTTTGTTTATTATACGCAAGAATTACTTATTTCTTGGTCCCATATTGGTTGCATTTGCTGTGTTGATGTTCTAAGCGTAGTTTAAATGTGGCACAAGTTGGGGTACCCAGTGAGGATCGAACTCAGTAATTTGTTGTAATTGTTCTAGCGAGAGAGACAAACCTGTTAAGCACTAAATCACGTCGACGTACACATTGATTTACAAAGCGTAGCTTAGTTGTGGCACAAAGCCAAAATTATGAAGCCCGCAGTGAGGATCGAACGCGCTATTGCATCTTAATTGATCTAGGGAGAAAAGTTTGTTAATAGTTACACCAGTGGAAATAATTGTGCAGATTACTTCAACGTATTTTATCTGACTATATTATTGATCTTTTTTTAACATTAACATAGATCTGGTTTCACTTTTAAGGTTTCCTTTGCACAACCATTTTCATATCCTTGTAGATGCAATATCTTGTCTTTGCCTTTTCACATTTCGGTAAAGTTTCTCTCGCCATTTTTAGATTTTTGTTTCGGGTCTTTTCGTTGTGAGTTTATTCCTGGAAATTTTGCCTGTCATAGACAATTATTCCTTTCTCTATATTGTATATCTTTTTTTTTCCCGTATATGCATGGTACGATAGGGAAATTGTCGCCATTTTTTATATTTTTAATTTTGCGCATGCGCTTTGTTTGTTTTTGAATAAACCGACTGCACACTATAGTAGGGTCAGCTAGGCGTCGTCTGCGAGTAAAATAGCACGACGATACAATTCACCCCGCCAGAAATTTGGAAACGGTATACTGTACTTCTTGACATTCGCGCAAGAAGATACGAATATTTTCCAGTGTTTGGGTGTCAATCTGAGGCAGTACAGAAGATTCAAAAAGAGCTGGATGAGTCTAATTGTGATTACGAAGGTAAGGCAGCTTGGAAAACTCACTCTGCTCCTTCTGCTAAGAAAAAAAACTCCCGAATTTGTTGGTAAGTGCCTCAGATTCAAAACGGAAACCTACATCACGTGTTTTGAGGTGGTAGTGCTGCCCTGGGTCAAGAGGGTGATTGGAGGTCCCTATGTCTGAGAACAGGACTCTACATCATGCCACACAAGCAGGAGATCCCAGTGATGGTTTTCGGACAATTTCTGCAACCACACACCCCTTACATCTTAGCACCTAACCCACCCAGACTGCAACCCCCTTGACTGCAGCCAGAGACCAACCAACCCCCTTTTAATACCAAAAGATCAACTGAAGGCAAAGATTATAGCAGCATTCACCAATTTAAACAAGGATACAGTCCAGAGGAGAACACATATTTTATATGCATTTTCTCAAGCATTCAGGTCGGTAAATGTAATTAATTCTAATTTGAACCATATGACATCCCGATGCGCACAAAAGTGAAGACATCAAAACTCCCAATAGACAGAAACTCATACATAATTACCAATGCACATTACCATCCGATGTCTACTTAGACATACAAGAATCTTCACAAACGGACATATGCATAGAAATATGTACAATTTTAATGCACGTGACACGGGTCTGACCAATGAGAACTGACCAGAACATAATTGAAAATAACCTTGTTTTCTGACTTTTTTTTCTCTCAAAACTGACGAAGTTTAAAAAAAAAGTGAATCATGTTAGATTGATATACGTTTTCCTATTTGTAGTCTCTTAGCTGAAATGGTCTTAAATTTAAAAGAAAACTAAGTTAACTTTGCGGACTTATCTCAATGAGAATTTAACAAAAAGTTGGACCAGTCGTGCCAATGATAATGACAATGTGCTGTTGAAATGGCCAACACTTTCACTTGACTTGATACCTTGTGAATTTTTTTCTATATGGCTATATGAAAGGACAGTTCTATAACCTCCTACTCTTTCTACAAACCTAGAGGATTGGTTGTTGGTTCGTTGTTTTGTTTTATGGCATATCAAAACCTCAGTGGGTCATTTAATACCAACAAAATTTTGAAATAGATTCATAGCAATAGTTTGGTAAAAAAGGTGTGTATGTATACATATATATTTGAACCATTTTTCAACTATCCATATTTTTTAGTACAATCCAACTTCTTTTAGGATATTTACAATCTTGGATGGGTTTATATTCGTATTCTTTTTTAAATTACCCACTTGGTAATATTTTGTTTGCACTAGATCAAAATCTACACACACTAACAGTATATGTTTCACTGTAAATTTCTTTTGGCATGTAATGCATATTGGGGATTCTGTGCCCTCTAATAAATAATGGTGGCTGATGTACGTGTGGCGTATGTGAAGGCATCTCTTAATGTGGGAGGGCTTATCTTTCTTGTAAATCAGTATTCAACTGAGGTTGAACAGTGCCGAATCTAGAGAGGTGGAGAGTGATATGCTGATCATTGCATTAAAATGCTACAGTAATATTTTCTTTGCACTAGATCAAAATCTACACACTCTAACAGTATATGTTTCACTGTAAATTTATCTAGCTGGTAATATTATTTTCAAAAACATATTGCTGGTAATATTTTTCAAAAATATATTTCTGGCAGAAGTTTTTCTTCTAAAATTCATTTTCGGTAACAATTTTTTTACAAAGCATTCCTGGTATTAAAACCTATTTTTACACTTTTATAATGCTTTTTACCTCAGTTTCAGGGTTAACTATTTGCCCATAGCTGGGACCCTAACAGGTGCTACTACCTCGGTTCCGGGTGAACCTGGGAACACCAGCAATTAAGAGGTGGTTCCACGCTTTTTAAAACCTCCTGATCAGAGGCCTTACCGTCGGACGCATTTTATCGTCTTAACCTGGACACGGATATAGTTTATCGTCATACCCAAGACGACAAACCTAGAGGAACTTAAGCAGAGAATCAATGAGGCGCTGGAGTATGTTACCCAAGAGCGGGACTACCGTATTAACGTGTATCGTGTCACAGCCGGTGTGCATAGTGAACATTTGTGAAGCCTTGTGAAATCGGTTATAAAATCTAATTCCCTTTGAATATTGATAAATGAATGTTTTATTGTTCAACAGGAAGTCTATTTAATTTCGTTTGTCTGAGACATGTACTTACTCATATATTCACATTTTAAATGATGTCAGTGTTTTGGGACGCACTGTAGATTCATATCCGCACCTAGATTTATATAAATGTTCATATTCACATACATATATATGTTTAAATATGTATAATGTATATCATTTCATATGAAAGCCTATTTTGTATATGCTTTTGTGTGTGTGTATTTGTGTATATATATATACGTATATGCGAATTCAATCAAAGAAAATTTTCCTTTTTTTTTCGCATTCTTTTGGAAAGATTCATGTTCGTATTTTGACAGCTAAACGATTTCTGGTTGACCTGACGGGTCAAGCAAGCGTCTTGAAAGGAAAAAGAAAGTCCTTATTTTCTTGTCGAGAGTGTTTCAGTAAATTCGATCAGTCGGCCGGAGGCTAACCAATCATAAAATGCCGAGAAGTTGATTAAATTTATAAACACCAGTGCACTTAATTTGAAGTGACTAAATGAAGGCGATAATTTATTGAACCAGATGAATGAGTTCGATCAGAAGATGGAGATGAAAAGGAGGAGGAGACGAAATCGGAAAAAAAAGTATAGGTGAAGGGAAGGTAAATAACAATAAAAGAGTTTCAACATTTGAAGAATCTTAAACAAGCAAAGATATATAGTAAGGGAAAATTTTAGACGAATTGACGAATAGCAGACGAGAATTGAGAAAAACCGACCAGTTCACATTTTTTTTTATGGAGGATAAAAACGGATAAATATTTTACTATAAATACTTAAGAATAATAATTATAATAATTATTATTGAAAATCAAAAACTAT